CAGCCCACCCCCCCTACACTGCTCCTCGAAGGCCTTCGACGCAAGCAAGGGTTTCCACTTCCGGTGCGCTCCCGCGTCTGCTAAAAGATCGCCAGGCCGAGAAGATAACGTTGTCATCACTCATCACTGTCCCGGCCGATGGCTCCCACCCCCGCTTCACCTGTCTGCACAACAAAGGAACCATCAACATTCGCCCTGTTCGTTTGGGCTTATTTGGCTTATAAGCCGTACTTTTTCAACCAACGAACAATATTTTTCTCTCACACCAAATCAGTCAACAGTACTTTCAGCCATGGCTTATCAGCCAAACAAGCCCAAACAAACAGGATGATTAGTTTTGATCCAACCTGTCTCAACCTTTTTCAAATGGCTAACTTCAAATGGATTCTCACATGAATACCAACACCTTTAGCTTCAAAACATTTCACAAAGGTCTCTTGCTTCTTTGCCATGCCACTTGACCTAACACATATTCATTTTTAGTTATCACCTAGTGACACTTGTCAATCGCATTAACCAAGGAAAAATTGGTCTTATAGCACTAGAAGATTGCAACATTCAGAAAATACCTTTGAAAGTTTGTGGTTATGCAAAATACCATTGAAAAGAGTATCTGTTTTAAATAGAAAACACTAAAGAAAAAGAATAGTTTTAGTATTTGTATAAAACTTTCTAAGATTAGTTTAAGTTTCCGCAAATTTAGATATAGAAAAGTGTGTCTTTTCAAACTTTTCTAAATTAATTTGATGGGCTCTTGGTCGATGTGATATTTCCTCGTTGCATGATTTTGTGTTGTGAGTGTGTAAAGTTTTCAAAACATGTTTGCAAGGCGATCACTTTTTCCCGGCATGTCTTCATCTTTCTTTGTAATCAAATTCCTTGTTTTGTAGCTTAGTCCTTTTGTTTGGAGCTTTCCAAAATCCTTTTCTTCCACTCCAATTAACTCATTTGAGTTCATCATCCGTCAACCTATCTCTACAATCTTTCCCCAAAAATTTCTGGATTTTTCTAGAACATTTTCTCACTTTTTTTGCGAGCATAATCTAACTTGTAGATGCTCTAAAATATCTTTTTATGAGCTCCAAATATTTTATTTATCCTCCACATGTTTCAAAACGTCTCTAAAAAAATTTTAGAATGTTTTTCACAGTTTAAATATCAATTCTAGAATTTTCTAAAATCATTTTTTCCAAAATTAATTAATTCCGAAAATAATAAATCCTAACCCTAATCCAACTTGGTCCAAACCTTATATATATATATATGTGTGTGTGTATGTATGTATGTATGTATGCCGGCAATCTGCTAGACGCCCTCTTTCTTCCGTTTTCGCAGCCATCACTTGAAACTTTGTAGATCTGAAACCAAAGTTCTCCAAGGTTTCCGATAAACATCCAACGACCTTCAGTGAGGTTTTTCTGCCATCTCCAACGGCCCCCGTGAAAACCGACCCCACCCCCAAAGTTTATATTATATCGTCGTTCTCTACACCGGCATATCTTCCTTTTCGCGAATCCAACACCGTTTAAGGGCGTCATTTGTTTCTCTCTCTTTTTCAGTGAGCTGTCTCCATGGATGGATCAAGCTTCTTCGTTTTTTCCAGTGAACACCAGCCGCCTCCCGTGCTTGCGACGCACACCCATTCCACGCTCGGTCACTCCCTCCGCCAACACCGTAGTGCAGCAGGCTGCGCATGCCTTGCCCCATTTTGCAGGCAGCCGCCAACTCTGCCAGCTGCCGCCTGCCTCCTCGTGTGAGGGCACGTGCGTGTTCGTGCAGTGCGCTGCCGCTGCCTTGTACCGCCTCCGGCCGAGCCCGACCTGGCACCGGCCAAGGTATTGTGTTAGATTTGTGTTAGCGCGAGATATGTCACATGTTTTTTTATCGTCGCAGCTACCGCCTGCCCCGACCGGACTCGGCTTACGTGCCCAGTACCGAAGGTAACTGTAGGGGCGGCTCTAGAGTCTCTGTAGGGCAGCTGCGTCAGCCGCTCTTTCCAGGGTGTTCTTACAGAGGGTGTCTCTGTAGGGACGGTTTTCTGACCGTCCCTGCAGTGTGCTTTGTAGGGACGGCTGGTGTTTTCAGCCGTCCCTATAGTGCCTTCTGTAGAGGTGGCTGGTAATATCAGCCGTCCCTGTAGTGGACTTCTGTAAGGGCGGCTGTATCAATCAAGAACCGCCCCTACAGTGGATTTTCCAGCAAAAAAAAATAATTCAAATTCAAATCTGACCATATATATATATATATATATATATATATATATATAATTCAAATTCGAATCTGGCCGCCACAAATACAAATGTCTGTGCTTGATCTGTACATATTAGCTGGTCCCGGCATTGGGAATTCGACAACATGACATCTCCTATACTATGTGTTCACATGTTACACAAGTCTATCTCCTAACTATATTGAGTCCAGAGGAGCATAATACTAACTACACAAAAGAGGTTAACTGTACGCTTTGCCTTTTCATTCCAGATTAATATTGCTGCTATTACCTTAGTTGCCAACTTGCCCATCTCTATTATGAGAACCAAAAGCTTCATTTTCAGCATGGGATGACTCAGTAACCTACAAGGATGATTCAACTTCAATTAATTGTAAAAATTATCATGCAATACATGTTGGTCAGTTACTGATTTTTGGGCTAAATACCAAAATTTCTGAGCCACGTATGCACAATTAAATGGCCAGTCCTAAATCATAACTATTTGGAAAAAAACACAAGCTTCAAAGCTATGCATATGCATCTTAGCACTAGAGAAAATGCATGGTAAGGTACTGCACCTGCTCACTTTGTTGTGCATTAATATTTGCTGCTTTCTGAACTCAATAAGAGATATTAATTGAATTTGCCAAGTTCTAGAACCACTTCAGGTGATTGTAAAAATTATCATGCAATACATGTTTGCTGCAAAACTATTCCATTGATAAATGCTTAAATTATTTTCTAAGTGGCCCGGCGAAGAGTAGAAAGTTTTTAATTAACTGTAAACAGCCCAAAAAGAATATATACACTTATTACTGGTTAAGAAATGCATCTACTATTCTCGCTATTTCTTCAGCAGATAATCCATACTGTGAAACAAAAAGCATTTTTCTAGGAAATATTAGGGGATGTCAATATGTTCAATGAACCATCTCAGCACTACAACTAAAATTTCTAAACCAAACACTTCTTCAGTGGCAATATTTCTAGCAATCAGAGTTTTTGGCCCATTTCTTTTGGTCTTCAGCACAACTACATAATTTGATATTCATGGTCTTCTAGCAATTTTCAGTTGAACCAATGCTTTACAGCATGTGTAGAACCTAACTAGTCAATAATTTGCATATCATCCAGAAGGAGCAAAACTGATTTGAGGTTGGGAGAGCAGATCAAAGAGGGAGGCTGGGACAGAACCATTGTATCATTACACAAAATATTAAACCACCATTCGGTGGAATGAAGAAGAATTATCAGACGATAACTACTATGCATAAGAATTCTTGTCTTAATTTATATGTGAGGAAAACCCATGAAATACACAAAGGAATTAGTAATGCTACTACACCATGCTGCCTAAATTCATCATACACAAGGCATAACAAACCATGCTAAATTTCACATCATAGTACTGAAGCAAAGCATGGTGAGATACACCGCAAGCTGAAAGCGCCATTTCATCCGCTTGAGGTTATCAGGATATTTCTGTGTAAATTATAAGCAAAACAACAATGCATTAGAAACAAGAAAGCCACCCGTTCTGATGGCAATAATACTAGACTTACATTATAAGCATGTACTGGCCCAAATAATTAAAGCTGCAAGGTTAAAAATCAGTTCACGAACTAAATCCATGCAAGTTTAACAATCAGTGCAACTGTAACTAGGAATACTAGTCTATTAGCTAATAGCAATGCAACTGTAACCATACATTAAAGAGCTGCTCAATATACAAAAAAGACCAAGCATAACTAAAGTAACTTGGGCATTTTGTTGTCAACCAAAGTGCAAAATCAGAGTCGCCAACTAACACAAAGTTCTTGACTAATGATAATATGTCATTACTCCATTAAATACCTTAATCTAAGATGGCATAAAACCATCAACACAAGAGCTAATTACAGGAAATGAGGAAAATGTATTTTTATACCTAGTACTTGAAGCCTCAAGCTTGCTTGCTTCTTCCCCGGAAGTCGAACATCAACACCGCTTTTCTTTGGGCCACTAGCAGACTCGCTCTTACCACTAGCAGCTCCACTGCATGGTAACGCCAAAGATGCAGGGGAACACGGCCACGGCACTGCAGTGTCACATCTTTTAGAACAAGGGATAAATTATTCTCACTTAGAACATCAGCATGATCACTATCACTATATATATTGGTCGAGGTCCGATTAGCCTTGTCATATGTGTCACGCTACGTGATATATTTGTCATATACAAATTTAAGAAGCTAACCTAAGCATCACAAAATGGACCAAACAAATACATAAATATGCATAAATCAGTAGCATTATAATACTAGGTATGGGTACACTTACAGTAGCATATGTATTGAGTATACAAATATTTAGTTTGGGCTGGAGCGTTCATGTGAGTATTTAAAAAAATAAAATATATGATGAATCTCATAAATTGGAGTTCAAGATATAAAACACACTAATGTTCGATTCTTACAATGGATCATGGTACCACAAATTTAGAGGTAATCAACTTCTGACAAGCGTATGATCAGGTATTCATGTTCAGGTAGGGTGAAACCAACAAGTTCAGAGTTCATACAAAAGCGAAATAAGTCAATTCAGTAAAACCCTTTATATGTGACTATCGTTTTTCTTTTAATCTTACACAAAACTGCATCAAGTTGACTAAAATATTTAGCAGTAGCACACAATCTCTATTTCAACAAATAGATATTTACATGAGTATTCAATTCTAAAGAATCAATTAAAGGCAAAGCAAGAGACTCAATTCTACAGATCCTACATCCAAGATGCAGACAGGACTGAACCTAGGCCTTCTTAGTGGAATACCATCGAACAATTACACTGCATCCAAAAGCAAAACATGAATAGTTTAAAGAAAATTACTTTCTACAATTGCTATCCTGCTCGGATTGGATGAAATGCCAGATCCAATATCTCTAAAACATATAGCTTTCATTAGTAATACGGTCTGCTAATAGCTCTAGCCATAAATGAGCAAGGAACAATTAGTGTACGTAGTGATAGGATTAGCACCCTGTTCTTGCACTAATGAGAAAGGCAATTTAATGTAAAATCTAAGCTAGACATGATTCTAGACGAAAATGGCAAATTCGCCACACAAAGCAGAACGTAGAAACTTACTTTTGCAACCCACATCAAGCACAGGCAGCACCCCACGATTCAATGCAACAACATCACAGGTCACTCTAGGTCACCCAGCACTAGTGCGATACGAACAATTGCTGAAGTCCAAAAGCAACCTGGAACCGCAAAAAGGATACTCATCCAAAAATCTAAGAACTAAGAAACCCCACCAATCACAATCTCTCTCATTTCCCACACATGGGATGTGGATTCCCATTCCCACATGTAGCAATTCCCCCTGCCGCGGCCCAAAACAAACAGGACCGGTAACCAAGGAGCGCGCTAGGGTCCACGGATCTCACCAAAAAATACCTCGATTCGACACGAGATGGATCCTCCGTGGGGTGGGGAACGATCGTCGACACTGTCGGCGGAAAGGGGCATCCGCGGGATCCGCCTGCTCTGACCCACCCCAAGGAAGAAGACGACGGCACGGTCCCGGATCCGACAGCCCCTGGCCCAGACCCCGCTGTGGAGGAGCCGTAGGTGGTGGTGAGGACCATGGCCTGTTGGGGCGGCACCAAGTAGGTACGGTGCGTGGGGGGCGCCATCGGCGCTGGATGAATCTAGGTTGGGGAGGGCAAACTGGGCTCGGAGATGCGCTCGCGAACACGGGGTGTCGACAGAGATGGAGGAGCTGGCCGCGGCTCGGCGGGAGGAGGGCGGCTGCGTTGGGCGGGGCGCGGGCGGAGGAGGCGACCACAGCGGACGGAGGGGTAGGCGAAAACTGGGTGGCGAGGTGGCTGCGACGGGCGTGGGAGGCAGCGGCGTTGGGGAGATTTTGTTAGAATCTCCGAGAGTTTGGCATATTTTGTTACCAAAACATGAATTATTCACATGTAAATAATAAATAATACAATATAAAAATTTATAATTATTTTTTATAGATATATTTACATATACAATAACTAAAACAACTACAACAGTTTAAAATTGCAAAATTGAACCTTTAAAAATGGAAAAAAAATTTAAATTTTAAAAAATTAAAATCAAAACTACTAAAATAATTTTGAGACACCAAATGATCTCAAATGAAAATTTGATAAACATCAAAGTTGTAGAGGTCATGAAGATATACAACTTTTATTTTGGTCATCTTGTTATTTGACAAAATTTGAACCTTTCAAATTTGAAATTTTAAAAAATGACAAGTTCGAACCAAAATTTGAGACCCAAAATGATTTCAACATAAAAAGTGATGAATACCAAAGTTGTTCAACTCATTAATATCTACAACTTTTATTTTAGTCATCTTGTCATTTAACAAAATTTGAACATTTCAATTTAGAAATTTTGAAAAACGACAAGTTCGAACCAAAATTTGAGACCCAAATTGATTTCAACATAAAAACGATGAATACCAAAGTTGTTCAACTCATGAATATCTACAACTTTTATATTGGTTATTTCTTCATTTGACAAATTCTTAGCACATATTGTTCACTAATGTTACACATGTCTCATATAGTTTATAAAACCTTATGAGAGATGTGTCACATTTGTGAACAATTTCATTACCATTTTGTCATATGAAGAAATGACCAATACAAAAGTTATAGATCTTGATGAGTTACTCAACTTTGGTATTTATCACTATTTCAGCTGAAATCATTTGGGGTACCAACATCTTGTCTGAAGTTGCATTTTTTTGAAATTCAAAATTTAAATTCCTCAAACTTTTCATATGTATATTTTGACAAAACCAACAAAATAAATGGATAGATAATGATTTGAGAAAAATTTAGAAAAAAAATCATCAGATTTGGAGTTAGTATGAGAAAGAAAAACTAGTTACAGAGTTGACCACAGATTAAAAAAATCACACTGTTCACTATGATCGTGTAAGGATCATCTAGAACAGTGTGATTTCTCTTTTTAATCTGTAGGTAAACTTTGTAACTAGTTGTTCTCTCTTATACTAACTCCAAATGTGAAGGGTTTTTTTCTAAAAATTTCTAAAATCATGCTTCAACATTTAAGTTTGTTCAAACTTGGATGTGACAATGTTTTACACATTTTAAAATTTAAAATTTGAAATTCGACAAGTTCAAACCAAATTTTCAAACCCTAAATGATTTCATATGTAAAAGTAATGCATACAAAAGTTGTTCAACTCATCAAGATCTACAACTTTTATTTTGGTCATCTTGTCATTTGACAAAATTTGAAATTTTAAAAAATTACAAGTTCGAACCAAAATTTGAGACCCAAAATGATTTCAACATAAAAAGTGATGAATACAAAAGTTGTTCAACTCATTAATATCTACAACTTTTATTTTAGTCATCTTATCATTTGACAAAATTTGAACCTTTCAAATTGGAAATTTTGAAAAACGACAAGTTCGAACCAAAATTTGAGACCCAAATTGATTTCAACATAAAAAGCGATGAATACCAAAGTTGTTCAACTCATGAATATCTACTACTTTTATTTTGGTTATTTCTTCATTTGACAAATTTTTAGCACACATTATTCACTAATCTTACACATATCTCATACAGTTTATAAAATCTTATGAGAGATGTGTCACATTTATGAAGAATGTGAGTACCACTTTATCATATGAAGAAATGACCAATACAAAAGTTGTAGATCTTGATAAGTTATTCAACTTTGGTATTTATCACTTTTTCATCTGAAATCATTTGGGGTACAAAATCTTGTTTGAAGCTGTATTTTTTTGAAATTCAAAATTTAAATTGCTCAAACATTTCATATGTATATATTGACAAAACCAACAAAATAAATTGATAGAGAATGATTTTAGAAAATTTTAGGAAAAAAATCATCAGATTTGGAGTTAGTATGAGGAAGAAAAAGTAGTTACAAAGTTGACCCACAGATTAAAAAAAGAAATCATACCGTTCACTATAATCATGTAAGGATCATCTAGAACAGTGTGATTTCTCTTTTTAATCTGTGGGTAAACTTTGTAACTAGTTGTTCTCCCTCATACTAACTCCAAATGTGATGGTTTTTTTCCTAAAAATTTCTAAAATCATGCTTCAACATTTAAGTTTGATCAAACTTGGATGTGACAATGTTTTACACATTTTAAAATTTGAAATTTGAAATTTGACAAGTTCAAACCAAATTTTCAAACCCTAAATGATTTCATATGTAAAAGTGATGAATACAAAAGTTGTTCAACTCATTAAGATTTATAACTTTTATTTTGGTTATCTTGTCATTTGACTAAATTTGAACCTTTCAAATTTTGAAATTTGAAAAAAGACAAGTGGGCACTGCAGGGGCGACCGGTGATTGAGCTGCCTCTACAGTGCCATCTGTAGGGCGGCTGGGCTGCTGGGGCCTAAGGACGTCGACTGTAGGGGCGCCCCCAACCCTAGCTGCCCCTACAGTAAAAATGCCCCCGTTCCTGCTGTAAGAATCTGGCGTAGTGCCACATTCCATCCCACGCCCACGTCCGCATCCCATCCCGCGCAAGCCTCCACATCCGAACGAGAACCCGAACCCATCCCGCTTGTGCCCACGTAAGCCCGCGGCATTCCGTCTCCACCACTCGCCTGTTGCGCCCCTTCTACCGCCACGACGCCATCCCTCCCCACGCCCCATCCTCCCCACGCCCCTTCCCCTCCGCGCACCGTCCTCCATCGCGCTCTGCTCCCGTCCTAACGTCTCATCTCTCCTGCAACATCCGTCCTACCGTTGCAACACATGCAGGATACTCTTGAAACATATTTGTATAGTCATTATAACATATGCATACGCTTGAAACACGTCTGTATAGTCATTGCAATATATGTAACATTCAAATCTACTTTTGCAACATTAAGATGAAACACTTGGAACGTACGTCTAAAACAGCTGAAACATTTAGAACATACACTTGCAACATACACGTATAGCCATTGCAACATACACAAGATATACTTTTGCCACATTGAAAGATCCTTATTTGGTTTTGGTAATTGAGTGACAACTTTAGGTGGACTAATATGCGTTTGAGTGAGATACAAAGGTGATTAGTCAATAAGTACATCATGTGTGAGCAACCTACGCCATGGAGGTGAATTGGCTTGGATTTATTGCAAGGCTCACACATGTGATGAAGGAGCTCATTGCATATAAGACATAACATTGAGTCATGTGACTAAGGTGGAGAAGATCAAGACAAGACTTGGCTTGATGGACCGGTTGCAAGCGTGAATTGCAAGTTGGAGGCTTTGAAGCAATGGACCGCATGACGGTGAAGCTTGAGCAAGACTTGGCGCCGATGGACGAACGCAACGGTGAAAAGTAAGTAAGGTCAAGATCAACGAATCAACAAGGTCACGTGATGATATGAAGTGGATCATATCATTTGTGATATGGTTGGTGCATGTATTGCATCAACATTGAAGAAGATGGAATGGAATGTGCAAGGCAAAGGTATAGCCTAGATGGTATTTTATTTCACTGGTCATAGGTGTGTAAAGAAGTTTATGACCGGGTTTAGGATAGATGGCCATACTATCAAGAGGAGCAAACTTGTTTACAAATTGGTCATCTAGTTTCACTCGAGTGATCTAACTTTGTATCGTTGCTAGGATCGAGTGGCGTGGTGAATTGAGTGCTAATCCTTTGAAAAATGATTATGAAAATGCTAACACACTTGCACATGGTGGTGTATACTTGTTGGTGTTGGCACTTTTGCAAAGGAGGAGAAGAAAGAAGCAAAGTGAGTGTTTTAGGAGGCGTCGAACCCTGGTAGAGAGGGGGCGTCGGACCATTGGGTGATGGTCCGACGGCTAACCCTAGCTCTCGGGCGCGCGGGAGAGCATCGGACCGGCGCCGGTCCGACAGTGGTAGGCCGTACTCAGTCTGACGGCCCGAGAGCTCTCGGGGTAGCCTCTGGATTGTGTCGAACTGGCGCTAAAAGGGGCGTCAGACCTCACGTGGTCATTGTTCATCTTCCGGGACAGCAGTGTGTGGACGCGTGGCAAGCTTGGAGGCATGCTGGAGAAGGCGTTGGACCTCGTCTCTGGTTCGATGGTCTACGTTGGACTCAGTCCGATGGTGTGCTGCACTCTCGGGTGCTCTCTGTAGGTTTTTCCCGAGGGCGTCGGACCGTGACCAGGGGTTCGGTCCGACGGGCATCGGACCAAGGCTGCCTGAGATGGGTGCAGGTAGCCGTTGGAGAGCCAACGACTCTCTTTGAAGGAGCGGGACACGTGGCGCCTGATGGGGCATCGGACCCACCTTCGGACGGTCCGACGATCGATTCCCCTCAGTCTGATAGCCTCGTTTAGTGCCCAGTGAATAGGTACAATGACTCTATTTGCTTGGGGGCTATAAAACCAAGCACTAGCTTGGGCCAGTAGCTGAGCACCCTTAAGCCTTGGTGGCTTATGTTGGTGTGCTTAGGAGCCCTCTAACTCACATACGCTTGATAGTGATCATCCGATTAAGTGTGAGTATGATTCTAGTGCGATTGCATCATGAGGTTGCATCGAGTGGCACTAGGTGTTCGAGTTGAAAGACGGTAGTGCTTGTTAATCTTGGAGGTTGCCACCTCCTAGATGGCTTGGTGGTGGCCTCCGTCGAA